CTGAAAATGAACTTGAAGATACATATACATTATTAATTCCAACACTTGAAGGTATTATAAAATTATTATATTTTATTTTTCATTTCATCTTATGTTTATTATAGAATGTGTGAAGAAAATAATAAATTATATGGGAATGCAAGCTTGTGAACGATCAGACAAAATTCCAGAAGGCAAAGCATCACATGCATTTTATTTAGCGGGTGTCTATCGTGGTGGACATGATGTACTTGTTCGAGCAAAAATGGCATTGGGTGGTACAACAGTATATCCAGGAGCACAAGCTATTACCATGCAATTAACAATACGTTCGACAGATGGATCAGCTGTGCAAGTTATTGCTTCAGGAGTCGAATAAATAAATAAATAAATAACAAAAACATTCATACATTTTATTAGCATACTTTTCTTTTTTGTTGTGTGGGACTTTTTATCGATGTGCGAGTGTTATAAACTTATCATTCTCTTACTCTAAATAATATACACAGAAACATACTTTTTCCATCGATTATTATTCCATCGTAGTGCCTAATTTAAAAAGAAATCAATTATTTTGACAAAGATTCGAAGCAAGCATTGACCAAGACTAATAGAGCATATAACTTTTTTTTTTCTTACTAATTTAACTTTTCTATCCATCACTCAGTAACATAAAGATAATGTTCTATTGGACATAGTGTTAGTTGTTTTTCGTGTCAATATCTAAACTTAAATGATAGATGACTTTCTCTTGCATAAAAAATACAAACATTGTGCTTTTTAAAAAGCTGTTTCAATTTAACCAATCCAAGTTGAACGAAATTGAAAAGTATGTATGACGATTTGTATTACTACAAAACTGTTGTCAATACTATTTAGCATGTTTCTGAAGAATATTGTGAACTGATCTTTTATCGGTTGTCGTTACAGGTGTAACACATAAAACTGCTTACATAAAAAGATTAGCATCAATTCTTCTTGGCTATTTTCGATTTAATCAATTCGAAAAACAAAGCTTGCAAAATTTTGTCTTTCGATCGGGCTAATAGTAAATAAATGAGATCTTCTGTATAGAAGCGAATTGCAAGACTTTATTTTCGCTTTCGAAAGAAATTTTTATTATCCGTTCTTAAGTTCATCCCGTCACAAAGTACGGACTTTTACTTCGCACTTATAGAAACATCGATCTTCATAAATGCTATGCTTCGCATTGCATTAAATAGACTGCAACATACATACCACATCTATTCAGACGCATAACTCGACATATTGATAGTATCATACAAAAAAGTTATTGATCGCGTTCCATAAAAAAAAAACTGCGTGAAGAATTATATGTGATATGATAATGGACGAAAGCAAGGATCAAACGAGTTGGGAACATGATGCGTGAACAATCTATATGAATACTACAAACAAAAAACGGCTGCATTTCTACGATTGCTTGCTCGCTTAAAGTTCCATTGATCAGATAAAAACTATGATCTAATCGTTGATAAGGTAGTATGACGTGAAAAATTATAACCGCGACGAACTAACTGACTATTTCGTTTGTTATGGGTCCGAGAAAAAAAAGGACGTCATTAGAAAAGAAAACAATATTGACCGAATTAAACGCGAGCACGAAATGATACGCATCAATTGATTGCATATGCGCAATATTTACATGTGATTCGTAGATTCGTTTTATTGTTTCTGTTTTTCATTAATCAAGGACTGATTTAAAGTTTAAAGAGAAATACAGATGATATTTCAATTCTTAATAATCTGCCATTCTTTTGTTCATGGTTTATTCATATAAAATTAAACTATGAGAATACAATGACTACTTGTATAATGAATTAGTATGATCGAAAAGCGGCCTTTGATTAAATGACGAAA